ACGATCATAATTGCCTTCACTCGTCTTGTAAAAGCACTTGCAGTTGCCCCTCTATAGATCTCGTCAATACCCATACATATCTAGGAATGCAGATCGATAGTAAGTTTGCTTGGCATAACCACATCGAGTGTGTTTGTAACAAGTTAAGACAATTCTTAGCTAATATTATAATACTGAAGAACAGAATTCCGTTCCCAGTTAAGATGATGTTATATAACTCTCTGGCAGAATCTTATATACAGTATGGTCTAGGTAGCTATGGTCGTACATTTAATACTTATTTAAACAAAATATATAACCTCCAGATAAGAATCCTTAAAAACATTGTAACAGACAAGATTCGACGTCAATTTCATGATGACGATAGTATGCTCTTTAAGCACTGCAATATACTACCAGTTCATACACAAGTCAAATATTTACTTTTAAAAAAACACTTTTTTAATGAAAAGTTAAAATTAGAAATGAAGCACCCCGTGTGTACGCGCGCCGTAAGCAGCCGCAAGCTGCAGACGAGCCAGGCAAACAATATGTACGGGGAACGAACAGCAAGTTACATTGTTCCACGACTTATAAACAAGCTACCCCCAGATTTCCGCGATAACTTAAATATCAAAAACATTAAAAAAAAACTTAAAATGTACTTTTTATGTAATTTATAAAAAAAATTACTACTTGAAACAGCGTATATGCGTTTGCTCAGGTCCTAATTAGGCTGTAATGTTTCCTTTTTACAAACTATATTAATTATACTTAATGTAACGTCTACTCTGGTCGCGTCATCACAAACCTTAGTGGTTTTCTGTATGCGACTTTTTAGTATAGTTTTTTGTAATGCTTTGTAATATGGTAAATAAATTAAAAAAAAAAAAAAAAAAAAAACTATTTTTGATCGCAGTGTGGGTTACATCCTTCTTGCATGACTACGTCCATTTATACAATAAAATGGTGCTACATTAGTGATTACATTAGCAATACACGCCACGCTGTGATGTGAACATGATTCGTAATAGCATTGGATATATTGTGATATTGTGATATCTCGCTGCTCTGGTGCAGCGCTTCGAAGTCGGCTCGCGGGAGATCAGGGCTGCCCGTTTATTTGTATCTATTTGCATTATAGATCAATTGACAAATATATAGAACAAATAAGGTCACCTCTTTCCCAACTAGCGACATCTGGTGAGCGTCAAATTACTTCATCAACTAAATCCGTAAAATTAGTTTTATTCCATGTGTAGCATTTGCATAAATATAAGAAAATATTGTTTTTTATTGGGGTACACATAGAATAAAGGCAGAATCCAATAAACGGTACCCCAGGGTACCGTTTATTGGATTCTAATATGGGTTCTAGGGTTAACCTATATTTGTGAATAATTAGTAATGTCGATGAACCTAAAATTTCACTGAGTCATTATTGCGTTAGCAATTCTGTCTAAGTTCCGCTAGACGCGCCGCGCCGGCGCAACGCTTCAATGCCTCGCAAAAACGCGCGGCGGCCTTCCCATTTTACGACACCTTTGAACGTCGTAATGACCCACATCGGCACTTGCCCAATATTGATCGAACAATACAATGTGCATTTAAAAAAAAACGTCAGCAAGAAGCGCTGAAACGAGCTGACGGTCAAAATGAATGAGAGGCCTTGCGAATAATAGCGCTCAGCCGTCTATTACAATTACTGCAGTGCTTCAGCGCCGCAATCGGACACGGGCGCCGGGCAATGAAGTGGCGCGTTGTCATCTTTATGATCCCTGTCTCTCTTCACTCGTCGGATAGACGAATATAGACCGGTATATATCTAGAGATATATATATACTATATACATGTTAGGACTTCATAGATTAATGTGACACACGAGCACACAGTCCACCTCATGGTAAGTTGATGCTGCGTACCATAGACATTTACATCTATTCTCAATTAAGAACGCCTCGTTTCCAGTAAAAAGAGTCTCCGGTTCTCTACACTCACCATACGAAACACGCTGCTAATTTACTGGTATTCTGTTAGAGCTTGGTTGGGGTCGGGCCGACCCTTTCGTGCTACAACTATAATGTAGCTACTGCATGGACTTTGGGACTCTTGTTAGGATTGTGGTCGGGTTTTGGAAATGTCAGGAGTTTTCGATTTTTGAACATAATATAGTAGCTTTTTGCGTAGGAGGGGTGTAATCTGCGACGTGTAGTAATCACGAGTGTGCACAAAACCAATAATTGAATTTTTTTTCATGCTTCTTTATTACGTTTGTAATAAAATGGTCTTCCCCATAGATTGTCTCATATAGGATTTTCCTAACTATAGCAACTATACCACGTTAGACGGGTGGCTTTACAGCCGCAGTTTTTAATTATTTTGAACAGTTATCAGAAAGATGCTGCTACCCATCTCCTATTTCAGTTTCTCTCTGTCGGGACTGTGTTTCCTTCAGACCGAAACAGAGCAGTGAACGTGTTGTTATTTGTCGGCAGAAGTAGGTACGAGCGTGGTAACTACCCGGACGTACTCCTAGGCAGGAAAATTAAATTTTAATAAAAAGTAAAAGCCGAATTCAAACAATTAAAAAGTATATATAGTGTAGAGAAGTTTAAAGCCCTGACTTTAGAGTGTTTTTTCTTATTATAGGATAAGGGTGATAAAAGAGCACACAGTCCACCTGATGGTAAGTGGTAGCTGTGGCCCATAGACATCTACATCTATCCCCGATTACGAATCAAATTGCAGATGCGTTGTCAGCCGTAATGACTAAGATGGAATGCCTTTCCAGTAAAAAGAGTCTCCGGTTCTCCACACTCACCATACGAAACACAGCAGCGTTATGCTGCTATTTTTCACTGGTATTCTGTGAGAGCGTCCTTCCCCGATCGAGCCGACATATTCGTGCTACAACTATACCAGTAATACAGCTGCAGCTTGGCTCTACCAAGTATAAAATGTGAAATTATTTTATTCTTTCTTATTTATTTAAGTCAGCTTTTACTTTTTATTAAAAGTAAAGTATTTTTTTACCTTTTTGAGTGGCCCAAGGAATTCACAATCTCAATGTTGTTTTAATGTTACATAAAAATTTCATCCCCTTTTTTGTCACCCTTTTTGGTGGATTTTTCTAATGTTATTATTTATATAACACTCCTAAAGTATATAACCTATTTAATGAAAAAAGAATCATCAAAATCTGTTCAGAATTTACGAAGAAATCCCGTATCATATATACAAAAAAATTTAAATATACATATACAAAAAAAGTCAAATTGAGAACATCCTCTTTTTTAATTCACTAATAAGGAGTCCTATCCTACTACAAATTAATTATAATTGAATAAAACATTTAGGTTATTCATGCATTATACTATGTATTAGTTTTAGGCTCCATGGCGCAGTGGCTTAGCATTGAGTTGCGCCCGCTAAGTGCCTCGGGTTCTTATCCCGCACGGAACAAAACTAAAATAAAATTTTATTAGTCCATAGTCTATGCATTGCGCTATGCTGTCCACCTCACGACTGCTGCGAAAAGAAATCAGCAATAAATTTACAATTTTACTGAAATTTGTGTCTGAAACCGGAATATAAAAACAATCGCAACAAAAGTTTTTGAGCATTTACTGCTTAGTATTAATTTACTGGTCGTGCTCCGCTTTCGTGCATTTCAAATGCAGTGCAGTAAAAAGTGCTGATAAATTGTACTTTCTAGCTCGACAGTATTGTAACGTCACAGATGTCGAGCTAGAAATGTAACTTAATTATATAATTGTTACTACATATTGTAAATGTCATTTCAATTCTTATATTTTTTGTTTTACTTTTTGTATCATGCTGTGTTTGCCTATAATTATAATAATGATGTCCTCCAGATTGAATTTCGGTCACGGCTAACGGCGACCGGCTTCAACGCAGACTAACCATCTGTGCAGAATAGAATTATAGTGCCCAAGTGTGTGAACTCTCTATTGCCTCATGCTTATAGTCCGATGGGACGGTAATCCGACACGACTGGAGAGAGATCAGGCGTAGGAGCAACGGCTTTACGTGCTTTCCGAGGCACGGGGGTGAAACACCACCACCTTTCTGACTGCGTTCTGCTATTGAGAATTTCTTGGCAGAAGAACCCAATAACTGATTTTAGGCCGTCCCGGGATTCGAACCCGGAATCATCGCGTTATCTATCATCAATCGCAAAACAACCACTATACCAACGGGGCTGTCAATATAGTGCCTATAACTTTATGTGCCAACGATGAAGGTCTAATTTATATTCTAGTTGTAGTGTAAACATACACGTAACGCTATTTCTTATGTTAGCAATCCAATTAGTATTCTAATGTTACTGAATAAAAATAGAATAGATATGATTTCGGAAAAAAACACTGCTTTTTAGCCATTTCAAGTAAAAGTAAGTGTATAAAGTCGATGAGCTACAGTGTTCACTTACCATCAAATAGTGAAACTAGAAAGGCAGTAGCTGCTGTATGCCGATTTGAAGGATAAGAACACCAGCTTGATTACAGGTTGTGAGGCGTTTCAATTTAGAACACATCTCTGCACGAGACCCACAGATGAATGTGTTATCACTTGTCAGCTTAACTGCCTCGTCTTTCTGTAATTTATGTTAAGTAAATATGGTCTCCATTTCATTACAGCCTATAAAAGTTCACTGGTGAAAATAAGCCTCCCCCATAGATAGTCTCATAGGCGGGGTTTTGCTGTAGTTGCCACATTTAGCAGGCGAGTTTGTAACGGAAGTTTTTTTTTTAATAAAAGACTTTCTTAGAAAAAGTTTCTCTTTGTGTGTTTGTGTGTTAAATGTGTAGTGGCGGTGTAAGAATTTCCACTACCGCATGTCGTCCTGCGAGTGTCGTTAGAGACGATAGAGGAAAACGGGAACATAACGTACATATATCCATCTTCATAACTTACCTTATCATACTATCTAATAACGCAAAACATTGTATGGGAAAAAAGAACAAATCTTTTAATGATATCCGTGTTATGATTTCCAGGTGGTGCATTCGAGGGTGTGGAAGACCAGGTATCACCGTTCGGGTACGGGCGGGGCGAGGGCGTTGACGCTGGCCACGGAGACCCCGAATGGATCTGCAGCAAGGAGAAACCGCATTACGACCAGATATTCCAGTCGCTGAACCCTATCGACGGAAAGGTCACCGGCGCTGGTATGCACTCACACTCATACATCTCACACACACACCGCCGCGCAACTACCACGTACCACGTCGCCCTACAAGCTCTGCTCTCTACCACACACAATTGCTCAAAACTAACCGAACTATGCATGTCTATCTCACAACGTAAAGGTGAACAGAACGCGGACTTTGATAAAGTGGTCGACGCGCTGACGGTTTCCACACAGAATTGTAATGTTTTATCGCAATTTTTGGTGCGCGAGTCCACTCCCAGCGTTGAGCCAATGTCCTCCGCCGTCTCTATACACAGTTTTAACGAATCTGCTGCAGATGATAATAACTACGAATGTAGTTCGTATAAAAATGAAAGTGACAACTCGGATGAGGAGTTAGATGACAATATTCCTAAATATAACTCAGCGGAACCGGAGCCGTCGTTCAGCGTATTCCAACAAATTTGCTTCGGTATCAAATTTATCTTTCTGCTCGTTCTTAACTTGATAATGTTGATGATAATAGTGGAGTTTATGTTTAAATCGTTCGTGTACATATTGACCGGCGAGTTATATTTGGAACTCAACGTGAAAACGTCGCCACAGTCCTTGTTGGATTTCGCGAAGGTGGCCGTTTTTGGTCCACGGGAGGAAGTTGTGCAGATACGGTCGATATTTCAGTTATTTTACCGACATAACATTTTAAATGTATTGAAGTTGTTAACGCATAGTATATAGACAATTAAGTGATGTAGTAGGATTTATAAAAATATCGTATTAGTTGAAATGAGGGTTGATGTTCCTTTCTATAATATTAGTTATATTTTGTATTAATTAGATAATTAGATTAGAAATAAATAAACGAAATTACGGGTATTGCTAAATGCAGAAAAATATAAAAGAATTCAAAATATGCATAAAATTAAAGAGCAAACCCCCGAGTCATTGTTTTGTGTATTAATATAATGCTCTAGAAACTGACAAATAGATTTTATTCAAAAATAACTTCTCAAATATATGACATTATGTAACAAAAATCTTCACCTCAGTCCCAAATAGCGACATCTGGTGAGCGAAAGAAGCCCTCATTGAAATCTAAGCATTTCATTAAAAAAACTAGTTGTTTGAAAGTAAGCCTAATATCACACATTCGTAGCTTTACTCAGTTTCTCTGAAATACCAATCTTTCTCTCGAAGCGAAAAGATACAAATTTTTGCTAATGACGGTTGTAGTGGACTGGAGCAGGTTTCGCTCGAGTTAGATTTTTATAAAAATACCTCTTTTCGGTTTAGTGTAAACGCTATAATTTGGAATAATCGCAATTTTATTTATTATCTTGGCTAGCTGTATTAGGTTTAGCCTGGATAGGATATATAATGGGGCGTTATTTATATTTAAGAACAATCAAGAAACAAAGACCGTTTATTATTACTTTTATTACTATCATTTATTTAAAAACTCCCAAGTTTTTTGGATAAAATATAACCTAGATTGCTCCTGGTGTTGCTCCCTATCTATCTGTTAAGTTTCATCACAATCGGTTCAGCCATTCCGAAGATTGATTAGCTTGGGGAGACAGACAGACAGTCAATAATTTAAAAATATGTTATTTATATCTTAAATGCAAATAACCCCCTAAGTTTAACAGAAGCAAGTTATTTCAGTATTACAAACATACACTTCAATATTATTTATATGTATAGACAAAATTATTTAATGAGAACCCAAAAATAAAACCGGTCTAGTCGTTCTGTTCATCTCTATTTGTACTTGCACGTGATCTAGCATGAAGTGTCACACGGGTGTGGAAATTAACGATAACTGAAGGCTGACCGATAATTTTTCAACAGCTGCAAAGACCGAGATGGTGAAATCCAAGTTGCCCAACTCGGTGCTGGGCAAGATCTGGAAGCTGTCTGACATCGACAAGGATGGGTTCCTGGACGAGGACGAGTTCGCGCTCGCTATGCATCTCATACAAGTGAAGATCGACGGACACGACCTGCCGCCAGAGCTGCCTCCGCACCTCGTGCCGCCCTCCAAGCGCAACTGAACCCCCCCCCCCCCATTCCCCTCCCCCAATGGAACCTGATGCGTTAATGTTGAGGATGTTCACTGTTAAAGATCAATAAATATATTTGTATCGCTTAGAATTATCGGTGAACGTGACGCGAGTATTTATTTTGGAATTCTATTGCCGATTCGAGCGTATCGTTTCCTAGTGTGTCCTTAGCCTAAAACCATACATACTACATAATATACGATAAAATGACACGTGTATTCTTTGAGTTGGTTGTTGTATGTATAAAAAAATTTACTTGACGGTACGAGCTAGCAAAGTTTAATTGCAGTCCTAAAATGGGCTTTAAATAAATGTTTAGGCGACGATCAAAGTCTAGATACAACTTAGTATCTGGTATCTAAACATAATTTTTAACAATAAAAAATGTCTCAATAAAGTAATGCATGCAAATTGTGAACGTCCATGTTGGCTCGTATCGTTCGCACGCACAATTTTTTTCATATTTTGATTCGAAAAAAAATTATTTGTGATATAATAACAACGTAGGGTAAGCGGTTACGCAAAGTTCACATTTCGAGAAAGTTTACGTTGCAGTTCGTTTTTGTGACACGAATTCTATGTAATTTTGTTTAAAACCGCTTACTCGACAGTTATTTTGCATCGCCTTGAATGAAACATGTACTGTTGAGCTTGTTGTATTTTTGAAGCGAAACCTTCTTTAGAATCGTTGTGATTTGACAAACATATACATCTATAGACTTTAGCCTACAAGAGAATGTGATAGAATACAGTATACAGTGTTTTCTATTATCTATTATATGTTTGCTTTAGCCTCTTTAAATGACTTGTGTCATTTGTTGAAATTAAAAACTTTGAGTCTATATTATGTTATGTAATGCATGTAGAATAAAATGTAAAATAAATTTTGAACCTGGTAACATTATTATAATAAATAAACCCTACAGTTACCTACTTCTGGTACTCTGCATTCGTCTCATTCTCTCGAAGTTTAGTTTTCTGAAGGTTCCACTTCTGGCGCGTGTAGAACATGTTTTTTTTAGTATGTTGATTTAACGCTCACCCTACGTTTTGCTTGTCGTGCGATTTGTGTGGCAGAGGGCGCTGCGGTGCAACGAAACGCAAATGTTGCCAGCTCTGGCACACGAGCTAGCAGGCGGGACACAAACAATAATAAACATAATATCCGTCTTATTACCAAAAATAGTACATAAAAGCCCAGGTTTATACTAGAGTGTGTTTAAATAAGGGAGTCCCGCGGAAATTAGGCTAACTAAAATGTAAAATATGGATTTTGACAGTAAATGTCAAATTTAGCAAAGACTGTGATGCAGTTATGGACTTCTTTTGTGACAAATACACTCCTTAATATCCAAACCTCTCAATGAACTAGGGTTTTGTAATAAGACCGATTGTTACTCAAGTCAAAGAAAGTCCGGTCTACTAAGTCTTTATTATAAATTTGTTATTAATTAGGCAATATTTAGCTTTACAATTAATTTATTCAGCGAGTTTTAATTTTTGGTGCTCCCAGAGTTTCGATAATATTTTAATGTGAAATTTTTATAGATTTTATTTTTAAGTACATTTTCTTATTTCGCAATGAGTATTGAATATTGTTCGTTACATATAAATTTATTTAAATGTTTGTTAGCTATATAATACCGCATGCTTTTCATTGACATTATGCTAAATTCGCACATACAAACAATTGTTCCTATTAGCAGAATTTCGTCTTATTTGATAACTATAACTTTTAATAAAAAGTAAAACAAAGCCGACTTCAAAGTACAGAAGAAAAGTGATTTTTTGCTACCCCTAGTGGTAAATTTATATGGGGCCACCCCTGCAGTATAACCTATCTAAAAAATTCTAATTGGGTCTCAATTGGCGAAGATATCGAGTTAATATACATACAAAAAAAAACATTATGATTGTGAACCTCCCCTTTTTTTTGACGTCGGCTAAAAAAATCATTGTTATTAAAAACATTAATTTCCCTTTATCAAGCCCTTACAGAGCCAATGGACGTGTTTTCGTCTGAAAATAGTTAGGATGTAAAACTAATTCATTAATTTGTACTTATTTATAAAGGGCTTGAAAGATAATATTTCTCTGTTAATTGGACGTCGTTACGCAAAAAGGGTCTAATTCTAATCCACAAAAGGCTACTTTTGAAATCTTCTAGTAGGAAACTTTTTTAATAAATAATTCATGTAGGTTATAAAGACTATTGACTGGGATTTTGTTGCAATTTCTTTTATACTATGAAGGAATAGATCCTAAGCCCTTATTTTTGAATATATAACTCATTTTCGACCCGACTGTGGATTGAATCTTTTTGCATAACTACGTACAATCATTGAATTAAAAAATTCTCCCCCTTCGACACTTCACGTGCTGCATTTATTCTTATAACCTTCATCATTCAGTGCCTTCGAATAACCCTTAAATAACTTTCGTTATCGTTAACTGGGCAAGTGTGGAGGCGTAGCGTTCTCCCGTGTAAAGAAGAGGCTTGCAAAGTTATATGTAAATACGGTGTTTTGTATGTGTTACAGTTTTGGAATGTTTTTGCGTCTTGCTCAGTGACAACACTTCTGCTGCAGTCGTATGTGGATATTTTGAAACGGTTTCAGTTATCGCTGGGCGAGGCGCGCAACCTTTACATTTTGCTACTGTGTGTACATAAGATATGTAAATGTATTTATCGTAAATTATACACAGAGTGTAATAATAAATAGGTAAGAAAAGTTGCGTTTGATTTTTAATGCCCTCTTTCATTCAAGCATATATTTATTTATAATTTGTAATCCTGTGATGGTAGCTGTGAGTACGAAATAAATATCGGTACTCACAGCTACCATTGCAGGGTTACAAATTGCAGACATTAATAAGTAAATATATTAAATTACTTATACATACCTACTTAATGTTCTTATAAAATAATTATAAACTGGTTGGTTTCTGGATCTCGACATTAGCGCCACCTACCGGCTCCAATTGTAAATCTAAACCACCCATTAAAACACACACAAAAATTCATCAAAATCGGTCCAGCCGTTTAAGAGTTCAATGACAAACACATACAGAATATAAAGTTAACACTTACAGAGCGACCTTTTGGAATTCACTCAGACTACAATTAAAAATGTCTGTCCTATTTGCTATCTCATTGAATGTACCATTTTTTCTTTTACAATTCACGACGTTTTTAAAATACAAAGTAACACTTAAAGGTCTAGGGGCTTCTTTTCTACCAAGAAGTTCCGTCTACCTATTCTTGCCTCAGCAGTGCATCCATTGTTGTGTTACCGTCTGAAGGATAGAACTAGAATAGTTACAGGCTGAGTTGTTTTTTTTTATAGAATAAGTGTGGCAAACGAGAACACAGTCCAGTTGATGGTGAGTGGGTGCTGTGACCCATAGATATCTACATCTATCCTCGATTAAAAATCAAAATGCAGATGTGTTGTCACCTCTGAGGACTAAGATGGAACACCTCGTTTCCAGTAAAAAGAGTCTTAGGTTCTCTACACTCACCATACGAAACAGGAGCATTAAGCTACTATTTTACGCTGGTATTTTGTGAGAGCGTTATCCGTCGGTCGAGCCGCATTATTTGTGCTATAACCATAGTATAGCTCCAGCGTAGCTCTACGACTTAAAATATTGTATGGGTTTTACCTACCCAGACGAATCTTCTAGGGTATAATTAAAAACTAAAAATTTTGTACAGCCGACTTCAATATAAATTATTTAAGAATAACTCAAAAACTATTGGTCTGACCTTGATCAAATTCATATGGGACCACACGAGAACTATCAGCTTTCATATAAAAATCATCGAAATCGGTTCACCCAGTACAAAGTTATGAGGTAACACACATAAAAAAAAAACAAAAAAAAACAGTCGAATTGAGTACCATCTCCTTTTTGGAAGTCGGCAGAAAAGACAGATTGGCCACTTAGTTGCAGTTTAGATGACTCCAACGCCCAATTCGTTTCGAAGGTGTCGTGAGAGAAGACTATGAATATATAGGAAATGCTAAGTGGGTCTCATAAGCTCCGATAATGGTGATGTGGTCGTCTTGGCTAACCCAGCAGATGTAAATTATCTACACGGACGACTAGAAGCAGCACAGAGGTTAGAAAGGTCTGTTACTGCGAATTGCCATTAATGATATTTGTTTATAAGACATTTTGAAGAGTCAAACTAAATGTTTTAACGAGTATTTTTCTAAAAAGCTCTTTATATGTGGCGTGAGATAATCCACTAACTCATATCGCCTCGTGATAATGAAAAAGCGACAGAGGGAAACTGAAGCTGAAGATGGACAGCTGCGTCTGCCAAGCATGTCAACTATTGCAAATGAGGCAATCTATGGAAAAAACCCATGTTCAGCAGTGGAATTTTGATAGACTGATAATGGTCATGATTGTTATAGTAGGATGTCATTTGAATATTATTTTCATTAGCTCTGCTACATGAAAATAATATGAAAATTGACGGTACGAAATCCGCTCAACTTCCCAGTAGAGGTCCATAAAAATAGTTACTGCATAGGTATATACCTCCCACTTCTGGGCAAAGGCTTCAGTTAAGTACATTAAGTCCACTCCGTTGTCGCAATGCCTCAATGCGTGTTGGCAGACTTCACATGGAGATTTTTTTATTTTATTTCTCAAACATACAGCTTTCGTCACGATGTTTTCCTCACCACCGAGCACATGGTAAATCAGCACTTAAAAATTCAAACTCCATTGCTCGAGTGTGGCTTGTAGTTGCGTCGCACAATTGTCGATGAGCACAATGTCGTTCGCATACAGCATTCACCATAGAAGTGGGGACTTGAGGTTTTTTAGTTGGATAGTCCATAATATATAGGCTTAGTGACGATCTCTGATGCACCTAAAAAACGGTTCGCTAAGTCCTGCCAGGCATCTGGGTGCTTTGCTTATGTCTTGACACCTATCATGCACCAGGTCATATAACGTCCCAAATTAATTTACGCGGTATTCTACTGAATGTCTATGCCCACTCTGTTGGATCGGTGTTTTTCCATCAAAATCTTTATGGCTTGGATTACATCTGTCGTTGACTTTGCTGGTGTGAAAGTTCCGCGTTGTTTATCAGATATGGACACCAGCTGACCAAGAAGATTGTACAGTATATGCTCCTAGAGTTTTAGCGTATGGGAGGTAAGTGTAATACCCTATAACTACCGCAGTGCCTGTGCACACAGTGTAGTTTGACTGCTTCGTTGGTCTAGCGGTTGTGATAGTACGACTGTTGATCATAAGGTCCCGGGTTCGAATCTCGCGTCGGGCCAAAAAATCACTTATTACATTTTTCCATCAAAAAATTCTCAGTAGCTGCCCGGAGCTAGAAAGTTGGCGGTGTTTTACCCCCATGCCTCAGAAATCACGTAAAGCCGTTGGACCTGCGCCTGATCTCTCTCTGGTCATGTCGGTCTACCATCCCAACAGATATGAGAGTGACGGAATAGAGAGAGAGCTCCTGTGTATATGCATACACTTGAGCACTATAGTCCTGTCCTGCACCGATGGCTTGTCTCCGTTGAGGCTGATCGTCGTGATCGAAATTCGGTCTGGAGAACATTGTTAACTGCCGCAGTTATTGACGTCTCCTTTGTTCTTGTAGAAAGGTACCAGATAATTATCTCCATGTTTACATGATTACAAGGACATATAAATACTTATATACGTATACATGTATTTAAAATGCTTACATAAAATTGTTACAAGTCCATCTGAAGAACATAAAATTAACTAAGTTTAGATAACACATGCAAGTTTATGAAAAATGCCAAACTCAAATTTTGCTACAGTTTACATTATGTGTACCAAATAAAATAATTCTTTCAAATAAGCCTTAACTTAAATAAAATAATTTTGACTGAGCTCTTAGTTTATTACAATTGCATCTGATACAATTATGGCAAATATTTTGTCTGACATGCCTCTGTCAAACATAGAAATTTTTTGGACAAATGATGATAGCAATGAGATTGCACATAATTATTGCCTTATTTAGATGGCATCTGTAAAATGGTTCACACAATCAGCTTAGTGACAGCTAACTCACGCTCCTTTACCAGACACTCAAATAGTATTACGGAAACCTATGGAAAAACTAACAAGTACGAAAAGAACAAAATGTTTATATTATTAAGAAGTTGATTTAAGTGTAAATGTTAATAATTGTTATAGTTATTCTTTTACAAACCATCTACAGTTTTTTATTCGCTAATTTAGTATCTTAACATTTAGTTAAAATAATTTCCACAAACAGCTTCTGAAGTTGGTGTTTAGCCATAGTTTATCTGAATAAAAGCCCTAATGGGTTTTTCCTTTTTATTAAGATAATTTTTTAACTTATTGAGAAGTTTAAGGAATATTATAAGTTCAACATTTCCCAACTAGAATATTGTCTAAATGGTTACACTTACATTTACATCTTTATCCTTACAGGGATGTAATTTTTTCAATTAATGTACCTATGTGCCCTGAAGTATAAATATATTATATATTATTAGTGTACCAATAGAGTATGTATTCAAATGATTATTTAATTGGTTTAATTTGAATTGGTTCAGCTTTTTCTGAAAAATTGGTGAATGGATTTAAAATAATAAACACATTGAATATTGTAGTAAATAAATAGAACCTCTTCATTTTTTGAACTTTGTTGATTAGCCCCATCTCAATTTCCTAAATACACTCACAGATCTTTCAAAATCACTAATTTAATTTTCACACAAGAGGGATCCTCAAAGGAAGTTTAATTGATAAGACTTTAAATAAATCAAAACATAAAACCCATTAGGTATATTTACTACTAAAAACTTCTTAAAGGATTTGACAAAACTTTATATAGTACATAAATAATATTTATAATTGATTTTGAAACCAATCTGAGTTCATTATATTATGATATTATATGCATACAATTGCCTATTTACTTTTATTTATATTCAAACCTACATTTATATAAGATATACATATAATAGTTACCTTTTATTATAAACAATGAGGCAACATGAAAATTTTACATTTATGTCTAAAACATCCATTCTTACAGTCAAAAACATATAGCAATAAGGATAAAATTATAGGTTTAGAGAAAGTCAAATGGCAATAGCAAGTAGGGCTATCCGATTTTTTTTGACTATTGTGTAATTAATCCTACAAAAATTTATTGCATTTCTATTCCTTACAAGATCCTGCTCTATGCTATAAGTTATATCAATAACAGTTTTAAGACTTTACTTCACTTAGAAAAATTCATTAGCTTACCACAGATATAAGTAGCATCAGAATTTTGTATAAATAAGAATTTACTTCAGTACTACTACATAAAGCAATTATAATGAGCTTTTATTAAATAAAGTTATTAATACAGAACCTGTGAAAGAACTAAATAAATATGCAATTTCATATATGTATAAAACAAAAGAAGTAAATATTAATTTATAGACCAATATATAATCACTGGTATGAAGAACCAAACAAGTTTTCAGCAAGAAAATTTGCATCATCCTCGATAGATGCAAATAATGCAAGATGTAATAAAAAAAGTCCAAATGAGGGGCTTATCGGTCCGTTATCACTCCACCCTTCAAAATATTCTAACTCTCATTGAGATGGTGGTTGATTGTCCCCTTGGCCAGGAGGACGAACTTGCCTCCTCAGTTGTTCTACTAGGTCAGGGTTAGCAGCTTGCATATGTTGTGCCAAAGCTTGACCAGCTTCTAACAGTGCATTCATGCCTCCTGTTTCAGTTGTTGCTGTAGTGTTAGTCATCAGTCCAGATATAAGGTTCTGCATGTTAGGATCGGCAAGCATTTCAGTTGCCATGTTCAGTAGTGCTGGGTTTTGTAGCAGTCCACCGAGATCTAATGGACCGCGCTCTCCTCTTTGTGCAAGTTTTTCATCAGCTAGGCGAAGGTTTTCCTTGTACGACTCATTATCTGGCTCTAATTGGGCAGCGCGAGCGAAAGCAGCTCGAGCTTCTCGATGTCGGTCCAGCGCAGTTAGAGCTAGCCCAAGCCGCCCATGTGCTTTTCCATAGTTAGGCTGTAGGGCAAGAGCCGCCGTACAGTCCGCGATGGCCGCTTCATGTTCACCAAGCTTAAAATGTGCCGCCGCTCGGTTGCTAAAATACACAGCATTCCTTGGATCCAATTCGATAGCTTTTGAATACTTGTCAAATGCTTCACGGTATCTTTCAGCTTTCATAAATTCATTACCCTCGTTTTTTAATTTCTCTGCATCGGCACGATTGGTACTTGCATTACCGCGTTGCTGACGGACCAATTGTAACAGATCGATTCCTTGTGCTAGTTCCTCCGGGCTCAGTTCAAACGCGGTTTCGATACATTGTACACCAACTTCTACGCTTTCACGAGAATCGTTGCTTAAAACATCTCCTTCAAGTTGTTGTCTCAGAAAATTTACTATACTAGCCGCAACTATTTTTATTTCTGACATTTTGAGCTAATAATATATAAGCTGAATCCAAAAATTCAAAATATTACAAAGATATGAAAAATCTTAGATGTGATGTGAACCAATCTGACAACTATTAAAATGACAGATTCAAGTCCAAGGGTCTAAGCATTGATATTGTGATAATGATTTGCAATTTCAGACAGGCATAGGTCTAAGACCATACAGTCTTGTGTCTGATGTGTTATTACAAAATTCTTAACAATATGCTGATGCGTCACATTTGAAAGGTTTTAAGAGATGTCGGCGATGGAATTCGGAAAGTCGATGACGATAGTTCTCCAAGCCGCTTCAGTGGATAATAATCAGTGGTCCAAAAAGTCCTATGTTTAACGGAGACATCTTAGACAAATTATTTGTCATAATTATTGATCAGAAGTAATTGCAATAACCTTAGAGCTCACTCAAAATTATTTTATTAATTTAAATGAAATAATTGTGATTCGTACGGTTGTACAGATCATCTAATTTATAATTAAGAATTAAAATTTTTGTACAACCGACTTAAATATAAATTATTAAGTTAACTGAAAAATTATTGGTCAGACCTTGATCCAAATATGGGACCACATAAGAAGCACCAGTTTTCAAATAAAAAAAGAATTATCGAAATCGGTTCACCCAGAAAAAAGTTATGAGGTAATACTTACTTACTTACTTATCTTCACGCACAATCCCTGACGGGGTAGCCAGAGAGAACAGATCGCCAAGTGTCACGATCCTTACAAACCTCTTTCGCTTCTTTCAGATTCATTGTCTTCTTCATGCATGCACGTCTAGGTATCCGAGTACTCTTGACCCTACCCTCTTCGAGCAATTTGCTCACATGGTCTTCGAAAATTAGTCTCGGTCTACCTCGACACCTTTTAATATTAACTTTCGCGCTATATATTTTCTTCACCATTCGGTCTTCACTCATTCGCTCAACGTGCCCAAACCACCGAAGCACGCCCTTATCAATTTTTGTGATAAGGTCATCTTTCAAACCTGCCATATTGCGAATCTCTTCGTTTCGCTTTCGGTCGGCCAAGGTAACGCCGCACATTTTACGAAGAGATCGCATCTCCACTGCATTCAACTTACTTTTATGCTTCTTCTGGCATACCCAGGTTTCGCTGCCATATAACAAAGTCGGTACCAACACTGCGTTATGTATTGCAAGGCGTGCACTCTTCGCTACGCCTTGCCTTTTGACTAACGCAGTCAGGGCACCATTGACTTTGTTCCCGGCAGCGACACGCCTGTCCACATCTAAATCACATCTTCCATCCCGGCTAAAAGCACTCCCCAAGTATACAATTTCATTTACCTGTTCTAGACATTCCTGATTTACCCATATTTCACACTTCGTTCTCTCTTCGTCCCTTTCAAATACCAGAACCTTAGTTTTATTAGCATTCAAACGGAGACCTTTAATTTCACATTCCTCTTTCATACACGTGACTAATGCCTGCAGTTCTGCCTCTGATGGTGCAATAAGCACTGCATCATCAGCATACAGCAGACAATTTACTTTTATGTCACCCAATTTCACACCCAAACAGCTATCTTTCAGCTTCTGTAAACAGCTGTCGAGATACAGTATGAACAGCCAGGAAGACATGATACAACCCTGCTTTACGCCTGTTTGAACGTTAAACATGGGTGACAGGTCATGTCCTACCCGCACACAGGCTTTACAGTCACAGTAAAGAGACTGCACAGCCCTTAGCAATCGACCATCCACACCATACCCCGGCAACAGTTCCCACATTTTCTTCCTTACAACCTTATCAAATGCTTTCTCAAGATCCACAAAAGCACAGAAAATCTTCTGGTTTGCAGCCAGAAGCTTTTCCGTGATCATGCGGAGAGAAAACATTTGATTCGTGCATCCTCTTCCAGGTCTAAATCCGCATTGTGCCTCCCATAGAAATCTTTCAGATTTCTCTTGCATCCTACGTGTTAAAACCTTCGAGTAAACTTTACTTGCTAAACTGGTCAAGCTGATCGCCCGATAGCACCCGCAGTCAAAATGTGAACCTTTACCTTTATATAAAGGCACAATGACTGCGGATCGCCAATCATCCGGGACATCCCCCGTCCGCCAGCACAAATTGCACAACAGATGAAAGCTGTCCCAGACGCGAGGCCCACCATACTTGACCATTTCAGCAGTAACTCTGTCTAGTCCCGCAGCCTTACCACATTTCAAACTTCGAATCGCACGTTCAATCTCTTTCATACTGATGATCTCAGTGTCATCGAGGTCCGGGTCTGGCGTACCAGTCACGGCGTCATCCCCGGATCCCTCACTAAGATCATCACACGCATACATTTCTCTATAAAATTCGCTCCATCGCTGCATGACGTCCGATTTTTCTGAGAGGACGTCATTAGTTCTCGAAAGCACTTTGTTCATTCTTAAGGCCGTCGCACCACTTCGGGTCCTTCCAACCTCTTTCCAGAAGAGTTTGGAGTTCTCCTTAAAGTTGTGCGACAACCTTTCGTCCGCTTCCATTCTACACCTTTCACGCACTTCCTCAATCAGTGCTTTCGTGTGAACTTTCTGCAGCCTATATCTTTCTTTCATCTTCTCTCTCATATCCTTATCATTACTGGAGGCCAAGTAGTCTAACCATGCTTTCTTCTTCTTCTTTACAGCTTCTTTCACTTCATCATTCCACCATGCATCTCTTCTTTTACTACTGCCTCTTTTTATTGTTCCACAAACTTCTTCCGCTGCACTTACCATTCCATCTCTAAGGTTCTGCCAAGTTCTTTCTACACATTCTTTTCTGCCATCGATGGTGTCAAGCTTTTCGGCTACCCTCGCATGATATTTGTCCCTAGTATCCGCTTCCTGAAGCTTCCAGCTTCGGATGCGACAGATCGACTGTGGTTCTGTTACTGCCGTCCGGTAGCGCCAACCCGCGAACAGACCCCTAAATCTAGTAATCACTAGATAGTGATCCGTTCCCAGGTCAGCACCCCTGAACACTCGCGTATCCATCACCTGTTTTCGCAGTCGGTCATCCACCAGGAACAAATCGATCATACTTCTCTCATTCTTTCGTTCTCTAGTATACATATGGATTTTCTTGTGATTAAACATAGTGTTTGTCACAAGAAGACCCTTTTCCTTGCACACCGCCAGTATAAGCTTGCCAGCATCATTAACCCTTTTATCGCCAAACTTTCCAAGTACCGACTCGTACCCTGGTCGAGCGGTACCAACCCATCCATTCAAATCACCACATAAAACAATTCTTTCGTTTCCCCTAGCCAAATCTAGAACTTCTCTTACATTCTCCCAAAACTCCTCCAGCTCAGCCCTGGACGACGAAGCTACCGGCGCATAAACAGCCAAAAGGAATAACTTCGTCAGTCCCAATTTAAAGCGAACCCAGAGAAGTCTTGAGTTCACAAACTTATATTCAGTCATAACATCGTAATACACATAAAAAAAACATACAGTCGAATTGAGCACCGTTTCCTGTTTGAAGTCTGTAAAAATTGCACGCGCCTCAGTTTTGTTTTTGATACATTTATCACTTTTATCATGTCAAATCTAATATAAAATGAATAATACATGTTTGTTCGTACTTTATGCGCTGCCATACCGTTCATTAGATTGCGGTAAAACTTTGTCAACTTATTGCTTGCACTTGCGCGAAGGTTATTGGCATAGTGCAATTCACTTACAGTAGTAGTTGCGGGCGTAACGTACCAACAAATTTGTTTGAAAGTTACATATCATTCAGTTTCAATGAATGTACTACACTGACTCCTATATATTATATGGACTAGCTATATACCGTGGCATAATTAGGTGAATTGAATTTCGCAATTTTGGCGCTGACAGCAGAAGTGAACGTCCGCGGAACTAATAATAGAGATAAAACAGTGTGATAAAATATATCGATAAAAGTTCTAAACCCAGGCCTACCCGTAACGTCCATTCTATTTACGAATCATATTAATATAATGCCATTATAGGGGACTGCAGTGGACTGTATTGAATTTAATTGTGTACTATGACTGATTTTAACTTTACTATACTGTGTAGGGTAAACTATGCTAGGGACGGTGGAAGAAAAATGGTACTGTAGACGATTATATATTGCACTATTTACAAGCGGCAGTGATTAGTATATACAGATGGGAGTCTTCTATGGAGAGATTTCTCTCTTGAGGTCTTCTTTCTTGATGTTATATCTTGTAGTGCCGCTGCCGAAACGAACGACTCACAGCCCAAAACGCACTTCTTATATTCTCAAAAAGGGTGTCTCGGCGCGTTGCGTGGTATTATGAGGTGTGCCGCGCGCTGATTGGTCGGCGGCATCACGAGATATCCGGGTGGTGTGCGGGGTGCGCGGGGCGCAACGGGGTATGAAGGGGCGACGGGGAGGCGGCTCCCCTCGCCATCCGTAACATTCTCCCCCCGGCGTAGCAAGCGTGCCTAATCTTCTTTCGGGAGGACGGCAATCTTCCTCACCAGTCGTCGCAGTACGCCGCCTCTGGTCCGGATCTCTACGTTGCGCACGACGCCGTCAGGTCCGGGAAACGTCCTCGTAACTATCCCCCTCGGCCACACGTTCCGCGGTAGGTTGCCGTCCGCAACCACGACGAGATCCTATTCCTTTATTTCCTGTCGCTAGGCGTCCCGGGAAACTCCGCGCGCGACCAGCGTCGGCAAGTACTCCCTCACCTAGCGCCTCCAGTATTCGTCGGCGAGCCCCTGCGCCGCCCTCCACGCCCGACGATCGATAGGTGACCACGGCGCGGTGATCGGTAGGCCCGACGTTCCCAACAGGATGAAGTGGTTGGGTGTCAATGCTTTTTGGTCATTGATATCGACCGGTACATGATTCAACGATCGAGACTTGATGGTGTTTTCCGCTTCCGTTAAGAAAGTTGCTAGAGTCTTCTCCCTTGGGCTCTTCTGGTGGGGGGTGGCTTCCAGCGCTGTCTTCACCGAACGCACGAGGTGCTCCCATACA